TGTGTGTGTCCGTCTTCTGTTGGTTTCTGGGTAGGGATGCCAGGCATCCAGGAGTCTCTGCGGTTCTCTGGGAGAACTACATGAATGAATCCAGGGGCTTGCCTTGTGGGCCGCGACGCGCATACGATGATCTCGTCAAAGCTGGTCTGCCTTGACTGCCGCTCACACCCAGCAGCCCACTGAACAAGCGCTCGGCGAGCTGCGGCGTTGACACTCACTCAACTCAACGCCCCATTTTTGAGGGTCCAACAGGAGTGCAAGTTGCGTTGACGGTGTTCAGTACTTTCATTTTGCTGGCTGGCTTTCCAAGAAAAGAATTTGGAACGGGCTCCTTGCGATGGTTCCTGTGAGAACCACTGCTGACCTCTGCGCAACCCATCTCCACAAGTCCAGGAAGTGCAATCTAGCACTCGGCTCATGAGGACGGAGGTGCAAATCAACCACTTCAACCGCTGAGCGCCGCACTGGACTTCCACGTCACTGGCCCAGTTGGACTGGCAAAGGATGGCAAGGCCCAAGTCGCCATTTCCCCTTCCCTTCCCTTCTGGACCGTTCCCCTGCCTCCAGATGTCCGTCTTCAAAAAAAAACAACTTTTCGTGGAAACCGAAAAGTGATCTTCGAACGACCACAGGGGGAAAACAGGGAACCCTCTCAGAGCAAGCTGGAAAAAAGAAGAAGAAGAAAAGAAAAAAGGGCGGAACCACCGCCGTTTTGTCTCGGACCAACGCTTGCTTGGCCTGTGGAGGCTTGGCAGCGGCCAGGCGGGTCCTTCGCAGGCATCATAATTGGTGCTGTCTACGACTGATTCCAGGAAAGCCCTCGAAAACAGTATGCCCAATTTTCGGAAACGCGCAGCCTCAGGCTGTGACCACTTCGCATGAGCGCAAAAGCTCACCTTTTTCCGCTCATGACAGGCGGCTGGCCATCTCCTTGAAGACCATCTCAACATTTCGGCCTTGGGCAGCAGAGGTCTCAAAGTATGGGATGCTCTTGCTCTTGGCCCAGTCCCGGCCAGTTTGCTCTTGCACCATGCGGGTGGTGGTGAGATCGGTCTTCGTACCCACCACCGCGAATTGGGGCTCGCTGCCCTGCGCATACTTAGCCACCTCAAGGGGGGGCCATCTGCTAGAGTGGGCTCCTTAAGATACAGTAACCCTTTTTTTGGCCGCCTGGGTTGAGGTTTTTGAACTGCCAAAATAGTAACCTTGCAGGAGAAGAAAAAGCTGAGCCCCGGCCAAAGAAACATATGACCCATGGCACGCTTTTCCGACATAGGCTTCCATGAAGCTATTTGTCTTGTCCTTTGGCCGTGCCTCATCCATCCACTTCTCCAAATTTTGGAATGATCTCCTGGAGGTCACGTCGAAAACCAGAATCACACCTTGGGCCTCCCGGTAGAACTCGTTTCGCACCTGTACCAATCGGGCAGCTGGGGTTCCCACATGACATAAGGGTTCGGAGACATGAAAAAAATGTTATTGTCAAGTTCCTGTCATCGTCATCCCAGTGTCATTCCCGTGTCATCCCCATTGTACAACAGGATGTTGCCCGCTCACCTCGAGGAACCGCAGCTCGCCGGAGGAGTCCCAAATGTTTACTCGGAAGTCCTTGCCCGCGTGCTTCAGCATCCGCACCTTGAAGTCCGCCCCGACCGTGGCCTCTTCCTCGGACGGCTGCTTTGCCGGAAACTCAGCACGGGAACGATAAAGGAAAATGCTTAAAACTGGACCGGAGGGGGAAAAATTGTAAGAAGGGGCTAGCTGGGGGAAGTGCTGGTTTTTATGTTCATTTCAAATCTGTGTCCCCCCTTCTTCGTTTTGAAAAGGGGTGTTTTGGGGAGCTTATATATCGTTTTCGTTAAGGTAATCATGTGGGTAAATTGTCGCCTTGTTCATTGTTGGGCTGGGGGCCGACATTTTTTCATGTGAAAGAGGTAGCCCTTTTAGTAGTTATAATGTTCTGGGGTGTTGGTGGTGTATTTGTTTTGATATATGTTTTGTCATTGCAATTTTGTTATAGGTTCAAACTGCAGTATAATGAAAGGTTATAAAAGTTTATACTGTTTAATCATATTATAATTAAATATTATGGTTAAACCACGAAATTGTTGTTTCTGTTTTCTATAAATTTCAATTGTAATATGTTCGATAGTAATGATTTCGTCTCGTTTCATGGTCTGTTTGGTTTCTTCAACTGCTTGTTCAATATGGAATTGTAATGACGCTCTACTTAAAATCTTATTCCGTTTAGATGATGAATAAGAACGACAGTTGCAAATATTATTATTATACATAATTTTCGAACTAACTTCTATTCTAACCTGTATTTCATCATCATACTTCATCATTATTAATAATTCTTTTGGTGGTTTCAACACATATGAAAGCGCTTTATCACCTTTCAAACATGTATTGCTAATCAACGCAAAATATCTACTTTCTCCTACTCGTTCAGTGTAAATAGACGGTTTCCATTTCCTTTGTAAGACCCTTAATGCTTTACACTGTTTTAGTCTTTGCCACCCTTCAGCACCAATCATATAAGAAGTGATGTTTAACAATGTATCCACAGGTAAGCTAGCCTTGTTAGATTATAAAACAATGTTTAATCATATTATAACTAAATAACATGAATTAACAGGATTGCTTCTATCCAAATTTACTTTCAACAACAATATGATTAGAATAACTTATCAACCCTTTTTTACAGCAATATTGTTCATAACCTTTTCTTAATAAGTCTTTGAATCTCAATTAAATCGCACAGTATACCTCTCATATAAAAATCATGATTTCTATATGACCACCAACTGTTTAGGTATGGAAAGTTAATCCCACAAAATCTAAAATGCTTTAAATCTTCAATTTTAAGACATTTTCTTAAAACGATACTAACTTCATTCTCATTATTCTTACAGTATGATTTTAATGCTTGATAATACACTTTCCTATTTTAAACCGTTCTTTAACTTCTTGTTTATCAAATACTCTGTCAATGTTTTCTGTATTGTTTTACACTATAATGGTATCCTGTTAGTTGTGTAATATCATTATTTTGCATTAGGTCAATATGTTTTAATTGAAGTTCTGCTTTTTCCAGTCCTTCTTCAGGAATGTCTGTATCTCTCGCTGGTTTAATATAACCACCAATAAGATTACAAACGTTAACATGTAAAATATTTGCTCGTGCCACAACAGACTTACAGTTTTTTTTACAAGGACAATTATCATAATTAAATAATGTCAGTTTTTCTCTTACTATATATATATATTCATTTTTCTTTAAGTAGTTTTTATTTTATCTTAAGGGGTGGGGTTTATGTTGATAAAACTATTTTCTAACAATTTAATATAAGACTAGGTTTAATCATATTATAATTGAATAATATCATTAAACTAAATCACTCACGCTTTCCATTCACCTATTCCATCCCACCAGAATTCAATAATTCGCATCTGTCCATCTACTAGACTGTCTTCTTTGTTTAGTTTCCGTATCGCTCCTGATAAGATATAGTGGTTAATAATCATTGCTTTAAACTTTCCATCTCGTTTTAACTTTTTACCACAGCCTGTTATGATGTCTTCGTCTGTTAGGTTTTCATACATTTCATTCATGATGTCAAACCTAACAAATGAGTATATTGTCATCAAGTTTAATCCGCTATTATCCCTAAACCTGTTAATGACATCTTTCCAGAATTCTTCGTTTTCATCAACTGGTGGCAAGGGGTGTCGTTTGATGAAATCTTTATTTTGTTCAACTCTTTTTCTAATTCCTTTCTACAACATTATCATCATCTTCTTCATCTGATGGTGTCCAGTTTGATAAGTCGGCAATCACTCCGACATTTTCTAAATTCAAGTCCTCTAATCTTATTTCAGCCATATTTCACTTAATATGATAAGTTAATATGTCTTTAAGTAGTTTGTATTTTATGTTAACGGGCGGGGTTTATGTTGATAAAATTATTTTCTAACACTTTAATATAATGGCGAGATTAACAAAAGACCAAGTAAGCAGCAACATCTATTACGACATAGACGAGGGTTTCGGAAGCACACAAGCGACACATAAGAAGGCAAAGGAAGAAGACCCAGCAATAACACTAGACGATGTAAAGTCTTTCTTAAAGAAACAACCAAATAAACAAATCAAAATTTACAAGAGGCACCAATTCCTATACCGTTCCATTCGCACGATATGAATATTAAATAGACAGAATGCATATGTCACCTTTAGCAAAAGATAAGAACGTTCCACAGTATGCTTTAGTCGTGATTGACATCTTCAGTAAATTAGCAGATGTAATACCGATGGAGGAAAGAGACGGAGAGCACGTTTTGAAGGCGTTGAGAGCAAGTTTTAAAAAGATGGGTTACCCGATGTCCGTGCATTCTGATGATGATGGCGCGTTTGCAACTAAAAGTCAAGTTCAGGATTTCTTCAACAGTGAAGGAATAAACCACATTGTCACTAAGACCCACGCAAATGTAGCCGAGCGTTTTATTAGGACGATGAAAAACAACATTCACGATAGAGTTAGGTTTAACAACATGAAATGGACCGACGCCCTAACACCAGCATTGAAACAGTATAACGGCACATCACACTCATCAACAAGGATGACACCGACCGAAGCACACAAGGACGACAATGAAATACATGTAAAGGTCAATCTGAAACTACGAGACAAAAACAAAAGAAAGTATCCCAGAATAGAGGAGAACGACAGGAAAAAGTGTTCCAAAAGAAAAGGGGTAATTGCACCGACAGAAAGGAGTATAACTCTAAATGGTCTAATAAAATATTCAATGTTGATACAATTGAATATGATATTATGAGTAATAAAACTTACAACAGAATAAACAAACCGCCTTTGAGACACGAAATGTTGTTAGTTAATGATTAAACGTATTTCTTGGTGTCTTCGTTATACTTGACTTGATAGTAATCCAGACTTGATTGTTTAGGCTCTTTTATGACTTTTCCATTCAGTTTTTTAACATAAATGTTTCGTGTATTTTTGTATTCGCTACTGTCTCTATCTACTTCTGTTGCTTGATAATTGTTATTGTTATTATATGTAGGTTTAATATTCATACTCTTTAAGACTTTCAGTATGTGTTCATTTTGCTCCAACACTTTTTCTAATCTTGGAAACAACAACTCCAAACTACTGTCAATGTTCTGCAAATGCTCCTCCATATATATATATACTAAATTATAAAACCAAACTTTTAAAACTAAATGTTGCAATTATGTTAAATCTACTCTTTAGATACTAACTTATGCCCCTATTAAAACTAACATTAATCAAATGTTCGTTAGTTTCTACCACCATATCACCACCAGTTTTTTCTTAACATTCAAATCTTTATCTGATTTTTTTTAACAAAACATACATGGAACACAACTAACCTTAACACCATCTTTTTTATCTACCGTCAATTCATTCTTAAAATTCATAACATGGTTACATCTATCACATTTTATAGCTTTACTTTCACCTTTTGATTTAACACTTTCCGTTGTTTCTTTCCGTGCTTCAATATCTGGCATTGGTCTTTCTTTGCTTTTATTCTTCTTCTTTTGACATTTATATTAATATTTACATTTTTGATATATTGCATCACAAACTTAATTAATTCTGTTGAATAATAACAGCATTTTCTCGTTTTTATTAACAACTTGTTCTATATTCTCTACTTCATCTATTATATTAATATAATCTGACTAACTTCTGTTCATATAAAATAATCGAATAAATTATTATGAATTAATCTTATTATTTCTTGCAAGTTAGAATATTCGGAGGGCACAGCAATGTGGTTTTCTTTACAATGCTCATTGATTGAAGTAATGAACATCTGTTCCATTTATGATATCCCTATATCATAAACGATAGTTCATACAATAATAAATAGAAAACATTTAAATAACTTTGCTATTATTGTATTATGTCAGATGTTCCAATAATAAAACCAATAAACATAACTGATTGCGATTTCAAGCAATCTAACTACCATTCCGCTCCATCGCTGTTGCTTCATCAACAGGTGGTAAAACAGTTTTAATCCAAAACCTTATCCTAATGTTTATAGGGACTGCTTCGCCCGTATATTCATTTTTGGCCCGTCCGTTCATAATGATCCTACCTTTGTTGAAGTCAAGAAATACCAAAAAGATAATATGAAGGTTGATGATGAAAAAGAAAAGTTACATTATGACACCTACCAACCTGAAGAACTGGAAGAAATAATTAACACACAAAGAAAGATAATTCATTATATGAAAGTGCAGAAGATGAAGAAACTAAATTCAATTTTAATCATTGTTGATGATTTTGCAGACGACCCTAAATTTGTTAGATACAGTAAGTTATTACACGGACTGGCAACGAGAGGCAGGCACGATGCCATTAGTTTTGTTTAAGCGTTCAAGAATATCGTGTCCTAGCACCAATCATTAGGTTGAATTCAAGTTCGTTGTATATCTTCAAGTTAAAGAATGTATCAGAGTTAATGTCATTCATTGAGGAAAACTCTGCTATTGTTGATAAAGAGTAACTGTTAAATATGTATCATAAAGCAGTAGATGACGCACCTTATAGTTTCTTTTATGTTAATATGAATTCCAAAGATGTTAATAATATGTTCTTATG